ATCTATGTAACATTTGAACTGACAGTGGCAGAGCACACAGGAGTGAAGAGGCTGTGGTTATAAAAGGGCAACAGTAGAAGTCCTTATGATAATGGAACTATAGAGTATTTTGACTATAGGGGCAGATACACAAAACCTACACAAGTGACAAAGTTGTACTGTACTAAATGTATGCAAACAAATGAAAAGAAGAAAAACTGGAGAAATCTTTCTAAGGCCCCAAAATTTTATCAATGTCAATATCCTGGATATGATATTTATACAACAGTTTTGCAAAATGTTACCATTAGTGAAAACTGGGTCAAGTGTTCCCAGGACTTGCATATATCGTTTTTTAAAAGTGCATTGGAATCTACAGTCCTCTCATAAAAAGAAGTATTTCAATTTAAAAAAATAGCAAGATGGTAGTTCACCTCAGAACTTGCTCCAAATAAAAGCATTAAAATAGAAGCTAGCGATTATTAGAAAGGATAAGAAAGCAAGAGTCAACTCTATCCTATAAAAAAAATTCACTTTACGTTAAAAGAGAAATATAAACTACAGAAAGATGGAATTAGATATACCATACAAACAATAATCTTAAGAAGCTGAAGTAGTTATACTAATGTAAAAAAAGTAGATTTCAGGAAAAGGAATTTCACCAGGAATAAAGAGGAAAATTTCACAATGAGAAAGAAGATGCAACAATCTTAATGCAACTGTACCTAAAATAAGAGCTTCGTTATGTGAGAAACTGACAACAAAAAAACACAAAATCACAATTACACCTGGACACTTCAACATACTTTTCTCAGGAATTGATAAAACAACTGAAAGGGAAATGAAGCATGAGTATGTATAAGCTGCAAAACATTATCAACCAACTCACATTTTAGAACATCTTGTGCAGTAACAGCAGAATACAGTCTTTCCAAGTTCACGTGGAACATTCACCAAGAAAGATAAACTTAAGGAAAACCATAAAGATTATATTCTCTGAACACCAAACAAGTTAGAAATGAAAAGAGTATCTGAAAAAATTCCAAATATTTAGAAATCACACATGCTTTTCTAAGTAACTCATGGTAGGGTGGGTGGAGAGACCTTAAGGTAAATTAGAAAATATTTTTAACTAAATGAAAATGAACACATAACTTCCCAGAATTTCTAGATCCTGGAGTGAAATTCAGAACTTTAAAAAACTTATAATTAAAATGAAAACATTATTAAAGCCAATGAAAACCTAGCTTTCATTTTAAGAAGTTAAAAAAAGTGGGCGCCTGGGTGGCTCAGTGGGTTAAAGCCGCTGCCTTCAGCTCAGGTCATGATCCCAGGGTCCTGGGATCGAGCCCCGCATCAGGCTCTCTGCTCAGCAGGGAGCCTGCTTCCCTTCCTCTCTCTCTCTCTGCCTGCCTCTCTGCCTGCCTCTCTGCCTACTTGTGATCTCTGTCTGTCAAATAAATAAATAAAATCTTTAAAAAAAAAAAAAGAAGTTAAAAAAAGAACCAACCCCATAGTGAATGAAAAGATAAAAATAGTAGAGAAGTGAACATAAGTCAATGAAATAGAAAAAGCACAGAGAAAAATCAGTGAAACCAAAAGTTCATTCTTTTGAAAAACATAATCAGTAAAACTGATAAATTTCCTCCAAACCAAGGAAGGAAAAGAGAGAAAACAAATTACCAATGTAAAAACGAGAGGGGCAACCAGCACAGATCATACAGACATCATTCTTTATGAATAATGACACAACCGTCTTTAACACAGAATCTGCAAATCAAACTCAGCAATATATAAATGAAGGATCACAACCAAGTGGATTTTTACAGAAATACAAGGTTGTTTGAACATTTAGAAATATGTAAATGTAATTAATCACATCAGAAGAATTTCAGAAGGAATCATATGATTATTAGATTTTGTGCTTAAAAGGCCAAAAGAAAAAATATCAACATATTTTTTTTTTTTGCTTTCTTTTTTTTTTTTGGAAACTGACAGGCTCATTCTGAAATATACACGGAAATGCAAAAGATTTGGAAGGGCCAAAACAATTCTGGACAAGAGAACAAAGTTGGAGAATTTATACCGTTTCCTTTAAAGACTTATTAACAAAGATATGGGAATACAGACAACACAGAGACGCTAAACAGATCAGTGGGACAGAATAAAGGGTCCATAGGTAGAAACCACCCCCAACACATACAAAGACAAATAATCAACTGGAGGTCTTAAAAGGTGCCAAGGTAATTCGATGGAGAAAAGACAGTCTTTTGAACAAATGGTGCTGAAAAAATTGAATGTTCAAATGGAATAATATAAATTTCAACCCTTAAAACACTATACATAAAAATGTATTCCAAAGAGATCGTATACCTAACACAGAGCTAAGGCATTTAGAAAACAAGGGGGAAAATCTCTGATACTATTGTTAAGATCTCTTAGAAAATATTAAAACTGGTAAGCTGGACTTTTATCTAAATGAAAAACTTCTTCTAAAAAGCCACAAACTAGAGGGGGAAAAGGCACAGAATGGGGGAAAATAAAAAAAAAAAAAAAAAAAAAAATCCTTATAACTCAAAAATAAGCCAAATAACCTACAAAGTGGGCAAATGATTTAAATAGATGCTTCAGAAAATAAGATACACAAATGGCCAGTAAGTAAGGGAAAGATGCATATCATTATTTATTAGGGACATGCAAATGAAAAGCATAGGGAAATGCCACTATGCACATTACTATGGCTACATTAAAAGTAACAATACCTGGGGCACCTGGGTGGCTCAGTGGGTTAAGCCTCTGCCTTCGGCTCAGGTCATGATCTCAGGGTCCTGGGATCGAGTCCCGAATCAGGCTCTCTGCTCAGCCTGGAGCCTGCTTCCTCTCTCTCTCTCTCTGCCTGCCTCTCTGCCTACTTGTGATCTCTCTGTGTCAAATAAACAAAATCTTAAAAAAAAAAAAAAAGTAACAATACCAAATATTGACCAAAACATGAAATAATACATCTCTTACACACTGGTGACAGAAATATAAAATGGAACAAACACTTCAGAAAAGTCTGACATCACATATGCTAATCCTACAATCCGAGAAACTTTACTTCTAAGTATTTAGCCAAGGGAAATAAAAACAGGCCTACATTAAAATGCACATGAAGTTCACTGCAGCTATGCTCATAACAATCAAAAACTGGAAAGGGAATGGATAAACAGAACTGTAGTACTAAACATACAATAAAATACGACTTAATCAAAAAATGAAGGTGTAACTGACAGATACTAAAACACAGATGCATCTCAAAATCAGGCTGAATGAAAGACAGACAAGGAAGAGGACAGAGTGTGTATCTCCATTTATGTGAAATGATATTTTAAAAAACCAGTCTAACCTAGTTACAGAAGGCAAATCACTGGTTGCCAGAGGCCAGGAGGGAGGGAGGGGGAAGTCCTAGGAATGAGAAACCTTTCTGGGTAATGGGTGTGTCTTAACTGTAGGAGTCATACATATGAGTATACTCTTATTAAACCTCAAGTTGGTTACTTAAATAGGGTATATTTAACCATATTTCAATTACTGCCCCGAGTTGATTTTTAAAAATTTGGAAGCACTATTATTTTAATAACAAAGATCTTAAAATTCTGAAAATCATAAACAGGAAAAGAGACAATATCATTATGGTCATATATTAAGCTTTATTAAAGTGAATCAACTAAAGCTAAATATATCAGTATGTATAAATATCAAAACCATGCATTTGAAGACAAAAATAAGTTGCAAAACATGAGTTCCCACTGATATACTGGCAAAACAATGTTACACACACACACACACACACACAAACACAAACACACACAGAGAAATATATGTAAAATATTACTGTAAAACTAGTAAGACCTGAGATCAATACTAACCAAATTCAGAAAAGTGCTGAAGGTGGTAGGAGTTATAGGATATGGAATGGATTTGAGGATGGTATGCAGATACTTCAACTATTCTTGTACTACATTACTTCCAACCTGCGGCAGACACACCAATGGTTAAGATATGCCTCATAATTAGATACATATATGAAATATTTCACTAAAACACCACCAAGTTTCTCTCCCTGGAAAGGCGGGCTGTTACTGGGTCAACAGGCCTGAATTCAATAAAGTTAAGCCATGAGGAGCTTCCTGTAAATTTCAGTTGGGACACAAAAGTCCTGGCACTCTAGGCAGTACTCTACTTTTATTAATACACTCAATGTTACTTCTGGTTCCTGAACCCAAGAAGAGGAAGCAGACGCATCCTCAACTGTCCCTGGCTGATGGCAGTGTACATTCTGATTTGGCTCTAGTCCATGAGGAGAACCCCTAGAGTAGATTCCAGGATGAACCAGATCAAGCATTATTTGCAGAAGTATCAGCATAGGTTGGGGACAGACTAATCAAAAACCCTCTGACGGGGATGGAGTGACATATATCTCTCCAAAAGTGAAATCGGGATCTGAGAAGAATATTCAGTTTATCTGTTCTTTTCAAAAAGCTTCACATTCCACAGTTAATGTTTTTATAAATGTCTATATATTCAGTTTTATTTCTATTAAAAAATTTGAGATCAGAGATAATATAGCTAAAGGAAAATTTCTGTCCGTATTTCCTAAAGACATACTTCCTTCAATACAATCTTCAGATATAAGAAAGTCCAAATTTTGTTAAAGCGTGCACACTCAAAACATCTTTATGATGTCTTCTGATATCAATTGTCTTGCTCAACTAATGGCATTTCTTGGTAAAGGCTGAACCACATTTGTGCATTCTTTGGGTATCTTCCCTATTATTTCCCTGACATACATTGAGTACAACTTGTGTATAAAGGTCTCAAAAATATACAAGATGTTGACACTTTTCCCCCAAGTGTGGTATGATTGTTATTTAAGGCCAAATTCTGGAAGAATATTTTCACGTTTGACAGGATTATCTCCTACGTAAGTTCCTTATTTAATAAGTTATACTTCATAATAAAATAATTCCCCATATTTCCTACATGCATTAATAGGGTTTCTTCTACAGTCATTTTTAGTTGTCTTATTTCAACAGGTTTTCAGACATTCAACAAATTCAGAGTATTTTTCCATTACGAGTATTCTCTTATTTACTTTGGAAGATGACTTAGGGTAAAAATTTGCCATTCTTTACATTCATAGGGGTCATGTCCTTTGTGAATTTTCTGTGGTATTTTGAGGTATGAATCACAAGAGAAAGATTTCTCTCACTGCTGTATTTATAAATTTTCTTCCCCTGTGTATAACCTTGGATGTACTGTGATAACTGATTGCTTGGAGGTTTTCTCACTCTCAATACATTCATAGGGTTTCTCTCTTATGTGTCTTCTCTGATGTACTTTGAGGCCTGAGTTGCAACTGAAGGTTTTCCCACAATGATTACATTCATAGGGTTTCTCTCCTGTATGTGTTCTCTGATGCTTAGTGAGATCTGACATATGATAGAAGGACTTCCCACATGCATTACACTTATAAGGTTTCTCCCCTGTGTGTATTCTCTGATGTACTGTGAGAACTGATTTCTCAGAAAATGACTTCCCACACTGATTACATCCATAGGGCTTCTCACCTGTGAGTTCTCTGATGTGATCTGAGGACTGAGCTGCAAGTGAAGGTTTTCCCACACTGAGTACAGTGGTATGATTTCTCCCCTCTGTATGTTCGTTTATGTATTGTAAAGTCTGATTTATGGCAAAAGGTCTTCCCACATTTTTTACATACATAGGGTTTCTCTCCTGTGTGAGTTCTCTGGTGTACTGTCAGGTATGAATTCCTAGAGAAGAACTTCCCACATTCTTTACATTCATAGGGTTTCTCACCTGTGTGAGTTCTGTGGTGTTTAGTGAGGTCTGATTTATTGTAGAAGGTTTTTCCACATTTATTACACTTATAAGGTTTTTCCCCTGTGTGTATCCTCTGAGGTACTGTGAGGACTGATTTCTCAGAGAAGGATTTCCCACACTCTCTACAGTCATATGGCTTCTCCTTCGTGTGAGTTCTCTTATGTACTTTTAGACCAGAGTTGCGACTAAAGGTTTTCCCTCACTGATTACATCCATAAGGCTTTCCCCCTTAAATGAGTTTTCTCATGTTTAGTGACATCTGACTTGTGACAAAAGGCTTTCCCGCATATCTCACATTCAGAGGGCTTCTCCCCTGTGTGAGTTCTCAGAGGTACTCTAAGGTAGGAGTTTCTAGAGAAGAATTTCCCACACTGATTACACTCATAGGGTTTCTCGCCTGTGTGTGTTTTCTGATGTATTGTGAGAACTGAGTTACTTACGAAGGTTTTTCCACATTGATTACATTCATATGGCTTCTCCCCTGTGTGAATTCTCTGGTATACTGTGAGATATGACTTATGGTAGAAGCTTTTTCTACATTCCTCACATTCATAGGGTTTCTCTCCTGTGTGAGTTCTCTGATGAATTATGAGGTATGAACTTCTAGAGAAGCATTTCCCACACTCCTTACATTCATAAGGTTTCTCTCCTGTGTGGACTCGCTGATGTAAAGTGAGGAAAGATTTACGAGAGAAGCATTTCCCACATTCCTTACATTCATAGGGTTTCTCTTTTGTATGTATTTTCTGATGTTTGGTGAGTTTTGACTTTTTGCAGAATGTTTTTCCACATTCATTACATTCATAGACTTTGTCTCCTATGTGTGTTCTCTGAGTTATATTAAGAACTGACTTCTCCCAAAAGGGTTCTCCCAAGTTGTTATATTCAAATATTCTCTCTCCTGTGCCAAGAGAGTCTGATCTCCCATTGAAATTATCCACTCTTTCGATATACTCATAACCTTTCATCTCTAAATGAACTCTGTGTTCCAAGAGAGATGATTTCTCAAAAGTTTTAACATATTCTTGAAACTCATAAAGATTTTCTGTTCTTTGTGCCATCTTACTGACCATGAGGGTTGAATTACTACAGAATGTTTTATCAGATTCATTATGTTCACAAGGACTCTGTCCTATGTAAGCTTGGTTATATGGGATGACAACTGCCGTCTCATGGAAAGCTTTCCCACATTCCTTGTATTCCTTATTGCTTTGAATAAAGGATTGCTCTATATTTTTAGTTCTCTGATATGGGATTAAATCTTCATTATGACTGAGGTATTTTCCATTTTGAATGAATTCACAAGGTTTCTTTCCCATTTGAGTTTGTTCACGGTTAATATGAAGGAACAATTTCCCGTATGTATGGAGGCCAACAGCCTTCTTACTTAAATAGTTTTTTCTTATTAATAATTAATTCTGAAATACATTTCAAATTCATACCACATGAGTCACACCTACACGGTATTTTTATGGAAGGAACTGTGTCTGTGCTGAAATTAAAAATGCTTCCTAATATATTACCTCTGTGCACAGTCAGTGTTTTGTTGTTGATAAATGGAGCTTGCCAGAAACGTCTGTACTGGGTTTCTTGAGTCTCTTCTGCTTGGCTATCAACTTTGCAGACTTCTAAAGATGAGAAAGACAAACCATAAGCCATGAATCGTATCTTAATTATGATGAAATTACACTTAAAACAAATGCCCTTCTACATCACTGACTTAGTTTTGTGAAATAAGAGTGATCCAAACAGTCATACTGCCCCATCTGTTTGGATTAGAAAAACAAAACCTGAAAGGGTAGAAAAGGGGATTAAAAACTTAGAACACACACATCTACATTTGGCAATTTACAAAAACATACTTTAAGACTTAATATATACATTACAAATAAATATAAAGCATGGTGAAGAAAAGACTTTGAAAAAAAAAAAAAAGAAAAGACTTTTGAAAAAAGACTTTGAAATGCAGAGAACTAGAGAGGCCATGAAACTTAGTAGATAAGAGTGCCCTAAAGAAATAGAGGAACGATTTGATATCGTTCAGAAGGATCAGACTTTACATAATTTTCCTCTCATACTTACATTAGTGCACCTAAATTCTTTCTAAACTTTACATGTTTCCAGTTTCATTCTCCCCCCTTTAAAACTACTTCTGTTTTGTTATATATACATTAATTTAGTATATTGTTAATACCAAATTAAATTTCTGGAAGCACTGATTTCTTTGTGCCTATGAAGAGAGTTCTCTAGTTTCTAATTTTCCTTCTATTCATGTTACTTATAAAAAATACAAATGTCTACTAGGAAAAGTAAAATTAAAAATATGAGGAAGAAGACTGAAAGACAATCAAATCCTTCCGTTGTTTTTAGTTGTGGTATATTCAAGCTTATTTGGTCAGATATCCTACCACCAAATGCTAATTTCTGCCCACTGTAAACTTGCTCTGACATATTATTAGTAAGAATTTTTCTTTTACACCCAGATTTCTACATTTCTTGGTTTTATGTGTATTTATAACCATGGAAGACCTGACCCCAAACACTCAATGATATATTTATTCACCCTAAGAATTCTCAGCTATACTTCATATTACCTTCTTGCTCAGTACATACAATGTAACAATGATGACCCTGTTTAAAAACCTCTTCAAAGCCCATTGTCTCCAAACGCCATTAAAGGAAACATATTGCAGTTATAATGCTTGGGTGGAGGGGGAACTTGTCCTCAACTACATACATATTGGGTATTCAAGTGATCACTTCACTAATCCATAATAAGTGTCTTCTTTGTAGAAATGCCAGACTATTAATTTGTCAAAAATCATTCAAGTTCAAGCAAGACTTTTCAACTCAGCTGGCTTACATTCCCATTTTGGACTTGCTCAGAACTTTGCTCTTTAGGAAAATGACACTGTCTCATAATAAGTCTTCACAAACATTTCAAGTCCTACTTATATATCAATTTAAAAAATTAATCGCATTCTATACATCTCATTCTATCAGAATGTTGGCTAATACTCCCTTGAAACATAAACATACCCTGTTAATGGCCGAAATTTGAAATACTCAGTAATCTTTTTTCTTTTTCCAACTACGATCTACGGTGTGGCAAGTATTTATATCTGATTCCCTCTGAACACACCTGAGTGATTATGAAAGTCATGGTCCTTTAACAAGTGGTGTGCTTTTTCAAAATAAAGTTCAAGTTTTCTACAAATCTGTAATTTTGAACAAGAACCTACAGGTTTATAACCCAACATGTCCATTTAGAAATTACTTCCTTGTAGTGTTTTCTGAATATAAAGGCTCTCTCACTCATCATTAGGCACAGTTAATGAATTAAGTAATGATCCAATAGCCACTATATGTTATATAACAAAGTAAGATATGCTCTCTTTGAAGAAATTATAATCCAGAGAATAGCTTCTTCATTCAACATCCATACACTACCAGGAATCAGATTCTATAGTAGATAATGTAATTTAAAGGAGTGAAGAAACATTTTAAAAGCTGTGGAAAGCTGAGCTTAAATTTGAAAATGTGCTTAAAACCAATGATAATGATATTAAGAACAAGAAAAGTTAACAGAAAACTAACCATTACCGTGAGCCAAGCACTGTTCCATGTACTCTTCATGTATTAACTCACAAAAATCCCCAAGTATGTTAGGAATAAAATGTAGACTTATATGACAGGACAGCATATCTGAAGGTAATCCTAAAAAAAAGGATTAGCACCAGTTCTGTGCCACATAGAGGAAACGTAGCCGTATTTAAGGGTGACTGGGGCACCTGGGTGGCTCGGGTGGTTATGTGTCTGACTCCTGGATTTCAGCTCAGATTGTGATCTCAGGGTTGTGAGATTGAGCCCTGTGTAGGGCTCCACGCTCAGCACAGAGTTGGTTTTTGTTTTTGTTTTTTAAGATTTTATGTATTTATTTGACAGAGAAAGAGAGAGGGAACACAAGCAGGGGAAGAGGGAGAGGGAGAAGCAGGCTCCCTGCTGAGCAGGGAGCCCAACTCAGGGCTCGATCCCAGGACACTGGGTCATGACCTGAGCTGAAGGCAGACGCCCAATGACTGAGTCACCCAGGCGCCCCTCAGCACAGTCTGCTTGAGATACTTTCTTTCCCTCTTCTGCTGGCCCTCCCCCAACTCATGTGTGCTCGCTCTAAATAAATAAATAAAATCTTTTTTTTCAAAGGGTAAAAAAGATTAAGGGTCATTAAATGAGAAAAACATAAATCTGCTATATTATGTATTGGGCAAAATACAACTCAAGATATTAACATGATAAATTAGATGCCCTTGGCGGGCAAAGTCTAACTGCATTTAGGAATCAGAACAGAGTAAAACAGTATGCCCAAGTGTTCTGGGTGGTATCAGCGCAAACTGAGAATATAAAAAGAATTTTTTTAAAGTTTACAAAAATATAACAATAGTGATCTAACATTAGTAAGAAAGGAAGACAGAAAAATGACATGACACAAGGACACAGTTACAAGAGACGATTCACAGGAGGTAACAAACGAAGTGGGGAAAATTTATGATTTGTAAATGCTGACTGTGATATTACTTCTTCCCACACTGAAGGGATCAGGATATCCTGCATCATCTGTATACAGACAGGTATAACACTGAATGTCAAGTGGGCAAAAGATGCTAAAAATATAAATATGTAGTTAGCAGAATACATGAAAACCTATTATTTTAGCTATAGGAAGGTATTATTTTATTTCAAAGATCCAATTTGACAATTTGTACTTTAACAAGTAAATGTAGTCTGTCTCTATTTATGGTGATTCCTGAAATATATCAAGTCATCTCTCACATTTTACTTGGTACTTTGTATTTGTCACAATTTTACTACCAATTCTACTGTACTTTTCTTCCTTCTTTTTGAAATAATTTATCTTTTCCATTTTTTCTTCCTTACAACTTTAAAAGTTATACACACTGTTTCTCAGCGTTAAGGGGCTATCCATCACATCATACCATGAATATTTAACTTAAAATCTAGAATAATTCAATATCTTAGATCTCCCTTTCTGAAGAAAGAAGCATCAAACTCAATTTGATCACCTCTCACCTCATTTATATACAGTTAGTTCTTTGTGTATGTTTTTTTTAGCCCTACATATTAGTATCATAATTACTTTACACATCCATTTGTTCAGAATCACCTCTGTGTTTTGTCATGACTTATCACTTGCCACTCCTCTCAAGCATTCTTTTGGGTTTCATTTTCTTTTCTTGTAGTATGTCCATTAGAATTTTACAATGAAATTACATAATTAAAGGTACAGCTTCTATAATTTATTTCATTACCAACGCAAATTTAATGATACTCTGAAACGAACTCTCCTGTTGACTACACCTCAGTTAGTGTCCTCTGAGCCCTATTCTCAACTAGGCCTTGACTAGGTCTTCCAGGTCTATCCGGGCTGAGCTCAGTTTCAGCAAGAACCCTTTTAAGTCAGTCTAGTGACAGTCCCTTCTCCCTTGATATCTGATCAAGTTCCTTATACCCTGTCCCTGATGGGTTAATGCCTGATCTGCATTCAGCAAGAATCCCCCTACTATTGGTGTTTCTCTTAGTAATCTTCTATCCAGTGATTCCCCCCACTCTGCCTGTTGGCTGTACGTCCCTAGCTGTCTTAGCAGTATGTGGAGTTGAGCTCAGTTTTACTGAAACTTCTCACCTCCTATTCCAACAGTTACTGAATAAAATCTGTATCTATCACTGTTAACTGGTGGCTGGCTTTATTTCTCATTGAAGCAGCATGAGCTCAGCTGACTGCTGGAAGAGAAACAGGAGTAAAGAAATAAACCCTCTGTGACACAGGCTTGGATGGGCAGCCAAAAGCTGAAAACGGAGCACAGACACTGAGGAAACTCTGACATGACAGACCCAAGAACTAGGGAACAGTATCAAATATAGCCACACATAAGGAACTGGAGTCCCAGGAAAAAATTAAGGATGAAATACATCAAACCACTTATTTAGGAAACCGAGAAGACAAGGAAAATAACCAGGAAACCCACCCCCCCCACACTAAAAAAAAACAAATCAAAGGTAAATCTGGAGACAACAGAGTTGAACAGCTGAAAACCAAAGATGAAAAGAAAATCTTGACGGCAACAAGAGAAAACAGAATATTAAAAACGGAAAAACAGAGATTTAAAAATCAGAGAAGGTACTTTGTAACCTAGAAGACAGTGAAGTGAATCAACTATGGACAGAAAAGTTTCGATCCAGATTTCCGTACCGACAGAAAACATCTTGCACAATGAAGACCTGTAAGCAGAAAGAGCTGCTGCCTTGTGGGGTTTGAAGTAAAATATCACACAGAAAGGGAGGACGAACAGAAGCATATTATTATAACACTGTAAGCCTCTTATAAACTAGCAATGACGTCATTTGAAATCAGATTGTGACAGACTGAAGGTATCGTATTCCACAGGCATCCACTTAGTGGTTAAAATATTCCCATTAAAAAATGAGAGATTTTCACATTAGTTTAAAAAGACCCAACTATATATTATCTATAGGAAACCCACTCTAAATATAAATAGATTAAAAGTAAGAAGATGGAAAAAGATACACCACATAGACATTACAAGAAAGCTGAAGGGACTATTTATGTTTTTTTCTTTTTTTGCCTCCAGGGCTTCTGACTATAAACTATGGGTTCCCATGACTAGCCATCTCACCTCAGACTAGTAATTCACTAGAACACCTCAAAAAACCCCCAAAAACTATTTACTTATATATTGCTAATTTATTTTATTTTATTTTCAAAGATTTTATTTATTTATCTGAGAGCAAAACACAGTGAGAGAGGGAAACAAGCAGTGGGATTGGGAGAGAGAGAAGCAGGCTTCCCTCCCAGCGGAGAGCCCGATGCAGAGCTCAGCCATGACCTGGCCAAGGGCAGACGCTTAACGACTGAGCCACCCCGGCGCCCCTTATATTACCAATTTATTATAAAGGATTCAATTCTGGAGCAGCCAAAGAGAAGAGATATATAGGCAAGGGTTGGGGATGTGTGTGGTATGTGGAACTCCCACAACCCTCTCTGGGGCACACCACTCGAAGCTTCCTGAACTCTGTTGTTTAGAGGCTCCTAGAGAGGTTTCATTACCTAGGCTTGAGTGATTAAGTCACTAGCTACTGGTGTGATGGCCACCCCCGCCCCACCTGAAGTGATCTAGCGGCCCCCAGCCACCAGTTATTTCAGTATACAAAAGACAATCTTTTCATGCCAGAGATTCCAAGGGTTTTAGGAGCTATGTGCCAGGAACCACGGGCAAAGAGCCAAAAACTTTTTTTTGTGTGTGTTATATTATAGTCTCTTTCACTACTAAAAACTGCAATGGACCCCCATTTTTTTGTAATGACACTCAAATTTTGCAGCATGGCCTAGAACTTCAAGATCAAGTTTCTGCTGGTGTCTCCAACTTTATTTCATGCCACTGCTCACTGTGCTTGTCATGATAGAAACACACTAGCCATCTTGCTATTGATTGAATTAGTCAAGGGTGCTCCTGCCCAGGGTGTTCCTGCCCAGGGCGTCCCAGAATTTTTCATATAATCTAGGTCCTTTCCAGATACAATCCTGAAGAGACTACCCCTGGCCACTTGGCTGAAACAGTCTACTTATCCCCAATACCCTCTATCACTATCATCTCATCTTCTGGTCTTTAAAACCCTTCATAGCATTTAGCATGACCTGAAATTATAGGATTAATTTATTCACATCCGTTCTTTCTCTGTGGTCCTTATCTCTACACTTCCCTCCTGAATGGAAGCCCAACAAAGGGAGAGTCCTTGACTTTCTTGTTCATTGATGTATATCCTGAGCTTTTAGAAGGGCATTAGTTAAATGCTGGTTTTTTTATATGGAGCAGTGATTCTTTTTTAGGAAAACACATATTACGTTATAAAAGAAGTCACCGTATTTGTATACCTTCTCTCCTCTCCGTTTGTTTTTAGCCTCCTCTTATCTATTTAGATATATACCCTTTCTGTGTTGCCTAGATTTGCAACTCGTACAATCTGTCACCTAGCTCCCACATTTGTTTTAAAGTCAGTTCTTTGGGGGGTGTCAGGGTGGCACAGTCGGCTGACTGTCTGACTCTTGGATTCAGCTCTGGTCATGATCTCGGGGCTGTGGGTAGAGTCCCTCGTCGGGCTCCATGATCAACACAGAGTCTGCTTGTTTCTCTCTCTCTCTCCCTACCGTGTTCACGCTCTCTCTTTCTTAAACAGGTAAGACTTTAAGAAAAAAAAAAAAACTAAAAAACAACATAAAATTAGTTCTTCAGTTAAATTCCAAGTCTACTACCAGTCTTTTTACCATGCTTTTTTATGTCACTCCCTGGTTACCTGATACTCATTCTCTAACAGAGGCTTCTAGGAACAAAGATCCTAGAGTTCTTGTCTATTCAGAAAAGACCTGCTGTCTTTGTTGAAGAGTATCTTCTTAACTGGGTGTAATACTCTCAATGTGACACCTTGAGGATTTTGTAGAAACTGCTCTGCTGACTCTGAGCTACAGATTTTACTATGGAAAAGTCTGAGGCTATTTGGACTTTCTCTGATATTGGCTGGTTGTCAAAATAACTGTTTTTGAAATCTAGTCCCTTTATCACAATATATCCTAATGTTGCTAAGGACTGGCTCTTTTACACAGATTCAATCACAAATCTCTTCCCCCACAAAAAGTATTCTTGAAATATTTTAAACATTTGTTCTATTTTTTTTCCTCTCTCTTTTGGGGAGTGAATTCTATGTATGGTATGTATGTGAACTCTCTTTTTAATGTAATCTTCAAACTTTATTTCATTTTCTTCTTGCTTACATCTATCCTTTCTTTCTGAACAAATTTTTTTTAAAGATTTTATTTATTCATTTAAGAGAGAGAGACACAGCGAGAGAGGGAACACAAGCAGGGGGAGTGGGAGAGGGAGAAGCAGGCCTCCCGCCAAGCAGGGAGCCCAATGCAGGGCTCGATCCCAGGACCCTGGAATCATGACCTGAGCCGAAGGCAGACGCTTAATGACTGAGCCACCCGGGTGGCCCTGAACAGATTTTTGACAGTATGTATTCATCCTTGGGATTCTTCCAATTTGCTTTCTTTACTGTAATTTTATTTTCTGTTCTCTTTTCTCAGTTTGACACCCTGCCATGTGTTTGCTATTCCCTTATGAATATCTTTCTTAAATACTTGTATCACAGAGATAATTAATTCAATTAGTTCACCCTTTGGAAACTCATGATTTAATATTTGGTCATATAATTTACGTACTTTATGACTACTTTGATCAGAGGACAATTCTATCACCAACTAGCTTCCTGATACTTTTCACCCCTTTTTTCTTCTAATAGTTTTGCAGGCATTTTGTGCTGGTTCCTTTTCCATTACTTGGGCTCAAAGGATGTGAGCTTTTCAAGGAACAGCACACTGCAAAAGGTTTACCTGGGAGAGAGGGAACAGAGTCATCCTTTAGGCTAGAGGGGTAATTCATTATGAACAAGCGTTCTGCACATGTGTAGGTCTCAGTTTACAGATCAACCAGGATGTGCCTTCCTTCCTCGTGGGAGTAGCCTCCCCAATGGCTTGCTCTCTTGGTCATCACAGAGTCAGCTCACTGGGGCTGGCATTGCTGCAGCTCCAAATTGAGGAAAACTGAGTGTTGCGCTCACTTCACAGAAACAAGCCCAAGAGGCTGAACTGGGCCCATGGAGGCTCCGACTTCCCCAGCATCTGCCTAGACCAACTGTCTGATGCAATCCAGGAAAGAAAGGTAGTTAAAACTCTACAGAACAATTTCATCTGAGAGGGAGGAACAAGACAAAAGATAGTATCCTTTTCCCTTCCACCTTTCTGACCAGCTGCTCTGGCACACAGTAGTTCAGTGAGACTCGGAACATGTCCTGCTAGTCTGAGCAATCAGATGTGCTAATTACAGAGCTACAGTTAACGAGGTAATCACCCCCCTGAGCCTTCCCCTCCTCCTAGCCAGCCTTGCTGTCCCCCATGCTTCCCTCACTTTTGTAGAAGGTCTGCAAATCCCGACCAACCGTTGTCAAGTAAGTTTTTGCATCAAATTCTGTGTCAGAGGAGTACCCACTAAGATGGCATGTAAGATTATTTCTGAACATTTAGTGTCTATGAGGTGGTTTTCCCTCATGTACAGTCTCTCTTGCACCATCATGGAAACAGAGGGCTACTGAAAAGTGTGGTTTGTGCTTCTAAACTCCAGGACGTCTCCTTTGCAGAACGAAACTGTCTCCAAGGGAGCTCAGCTATCTAGTTCATGGCACTGTTGTTCATGGAAGTTTTAGGTGTGGATGTGCTCTGTTCATGAAAAGCGCACTGCCAGACCCCGTGCGCATCAGAAATGCTTTTGTTTTCTACCCACCTACTAACATACACACGTTCCTTGATCACGTCATCAGTTCTGCTGCAGGTACACTTATACCGATTTGGGATTTCAGATATCCACCAGTGTCATATAATGAAGCTTGTCTTGCTCACTTCCCTTAGTGCTTCTGGATGATTTGCAGACAAAGGCGAAAATGCTGACTTTATACATTCTTCTTCAAGAAGTTCACTTTGTCTTTGAAAACCGTCTTAACTTGGCTACAGGACACCATATTCTCTGTTTCCACCTTATCTCTAGACTGTTCCTTCTGTCTTCTTTGCTGAGTCCTCTCATTTTCATGACTTCTAAACATTAGTGTCGCAGGGGACAGCTTTCATACCTCTCAAATTTGTTCATTCTTACTTCTAAGGAGAGGTGGTTACCTGATCCCTTAGCTTCAAATACTAAATTTAAAAACTTTAAATACTACCATAAGTTAATAATTTCCAAGTATCTCCAACCTGGGGTCTTCCCTATATCACCTCTGCTCATACAACCAAATGCTTATTCCCATGTAAACCTGTGCATTTTATAATCATTTCATTCAAGTTGATATCATCAAAATGCCTTCCTGAATGCCCTCCTTTTCTCAAGTATTACATTTCATTATTTCAATTTATAACTTCCTTGCTATTTTATGGACATACTATGTATATAGTATGTGTATGTGTGTACATATTATGTATATTATGACATATTATGCACATAGTATGTGTATGTGTGTTTATTTCTTTTCTTTCCCTACCAGAATGTAAGCTCCATGAGGTCAGGAACAAATTCAGTTTGATCATGTGTTTCAGCACCTAAAACTTGAGTGAGGCACAGCAGGTACTCAGTATTTGTTAAATGTGAAAATGAACATATAAGCAAGCACCTGAGAATAAAAACAAGTCATACCATGTCACCTAGTGTCCATCTGTTTAATACATACTAACTTACCTGGGTAGCTCTGACCTGGGGACTCTTCCTCTAGCATCCATGGCTGCTCTCCTTGCTCCAACTTCAGGATAACTTCTGGTTTAGGGATGCAACACCCTGTAATTGGGAAATGACATGGGAATTGGGCGAGGCTCATGGGCTTCAGGGCCCTTGAAGAAGACAGAAGATGAAGCTTCAGGGGCCAATTACAACACTTCATTCTTTACAGTGATTCAACAATCCTTCTGCTTAATACTTGAAATCCCAAACCTAAATATCATTAAACTCAACAAAGCTTCTACAGGTGTCAAACCAAGAAAGAAAGTGCATACTAGGAGTCTCCATGGGAAGCAATCCTTACCCACTGAGACAAGGTGGCTATAGTTCTCCAGCATCACCTCCCTGTACAGGGTCCTCTGAGCAGGGTCCAGATGCTGCCACTCCTCCTGGGTAAAGCCCACAGTCACATCCGCAAATGATAAGGATTCCTGAAACAGCACATTTGTGTTCAAATGTAAGTAATCACAATTGGAAGACATGGAAAAGCTGTCGAAGAACTGCTACGGAGTTCACTATTCACAATTAGAAAATGTGTTCTGGCGTGTCTACCTTTGTACTTGGTTGGAGGAGAAAGCATGACAGACATTCCTCACCAGTGTGATAAGTTACTGGAGTCCCATCATGTGCCTATATGCCATAAAGAACTCTCCTACCTTGAGAATCTGAAAACCAATAAAACCATGTCACTGTTCTCAAGGAGCATATAATCTGACAGACACAAGCATGAAGCATCCAACTACCATGTAGCATAAAATCCTACTACAGTAAAAACAGGTGCAAAGTAGAGTGAGATTACAGAGGGGAGAAAAGTTCTATTCCTGCTATTAGGGTGGGTTTCACTGATAACATAGTATTATTCATGAACCTGGGCCAAGAGCATAACCATGTACACTTCTAAAATATGTAGTTAAGGGGCACCAGTTGGTTAAGTGTTTGCCTTTGGCTCAGATCATGATTTCAGGGTCCTGGGATGGAGCCCCATGTCAGGCTCCCTGCTCAGTGGGGAGTCTGCTTCTCCCTCTCCCGCTATGTGTGTGTGTTCTCTCTGTCAAAGGAATAAATAAAATCTTTTTTAAAAATGTAGTTAAAGGAGTAAGTGAACACACAGGAAAGGACTGCTGGGACTATGTTCACATAAAGAGGTACAGTCGTCTTCAGGGAAAATGTTATTTAATAATTCTGAACATAACTCCTGTAGGACAGGGTGCCCAAAATGTTTGGTTACTGTTCCATCTAGGAAACCCTTTTCTTTCTTTCTTTTTTTTTTTTTAGGAAACCCTTTTTTATAATCAGTAAACTTACGATGTCAATTTATATATTAAATTGCATTATTGTCATTTTTCCTATGTCACTTTTATTTTTTTCAAATGAATATATTTGGCATTTAACAATGTGTAACTCTGATAGGCTTATATACTATAATGACTGCCAATGTAGCTGTATTTATCACATTACATAATTACAGTACATTAGTGTGTATCTCCATTTCATTGTATACTAGATTTCTTCATTCTTCTTTTTATGGCTTACAATAAATCTAGGGAGATACCCAAGTATTTTCTTCCCATAACTGAACTGTTTGTCTTATACAGTTCATAGGTTTTATACCACCCATTTATGAAATGACCACTGTGGAAAATACAGCAAGAAGAAACAGAGACATATTCCCAGGTTATCAAAACAAATAGCTAATCAATGTTCATGTCATACACTAAAAATTGGTTAATAGGAAAAACAAGACTATTTTCCAGAAACGTATAAGGTATTATTGAGAAAAAAAAAAAAAAACAAAACAAAGAATACCTAAATAAATGAATACACTATATTCATGGCTTGGACAATTTAATATTACAAAAATATCTCATTTCTCCACAAATTGGCCTATAAATTCAAGACAATCAGAATTAAAATCTGAGCAGATATTTTTGTGGAAACTGGTAAGTTTACTCTCAAACTTACATAGAAACTTGAATGGCCAAGATAACCAAAGCTACCTTGGAAAACAGGATGGATAAACTCACACTAATTATGGTAGGCAGAATCTAAGATGACCTCCAATGGATCCAACAACGTGAGGTAAACTCCTCTTAAATGGAAGAGACTTAAGTCCCTGTGATTGTGATACATTCTACAGCAAAACAGATTTTGCAAGTATAAATAAGATCCTTTAATCAGTTGACTTTGGTCTAAAGGAAGATTTACTTGGGTGGGCCTGACCTAATCTTGTGAGTCTTTTATTTATTTATCTTTAATATTTTATTTATTTATTTGAAAGAGAGAGTGAGAGAGAGAGAGAGAGAGCATGAGCACACAAGCAGGGTGAGGGGCAGAGGGAGAAGCAGGCTCCCTGCCATGCAAGGAGCCCAACATGGGAATTGATCCCAGGACCCCGGGATTATGACCTGAGCCGAAGGCAGACACTTAACCAACTGAGCCACCCAGGCATCCCTCATGTGAGTCTTTTAAAGAACGTAAAATATCAGAGACCCTTCTTCTGACCTCAAAGAAGAAGCAAGCTACTGTGAATCCTACGGCTGTCCAGAAATAAATTCTGCCACATATGTACAGATGGGAACCCAACCAAGCCTTAGATAAGGAGTCCCAAGAAACACCTTGATGGCACCATTAATGCCTAAGAAACCCAGCTAACCTACTCCTAACTCATTTTCGTCTATACATCAGGACAACTGCAAATGGACTGGTCAAGCTTAAATGTAAAAAAATAATAATAAAAAAAAATAATAATAATAAAAAGTAAGAGCTATGTAAGTACTAGAAGAAAATATGGGTGAGTTCCCCCATAACTTAAGAAAGAATAAAACTTACCTAACTATGACTAAAAATTCAGATGCAGAGCTCACATAGTTCAGTCACTAGAGCATCAGACTTTTAAAAATCCAGATGCATTAAAAAAAAAATACTGACAGACCTGACTACATAAAATCATAAACAACCAACCAACCAAGTCCTCTACAAAATAAAAGAAAAACCAAAATCAAAAGAAAAATGACAACCCAGAATTAAGTATCTGCAACTTACATGACAAAGAAAGGTTAGGGTCCCTATATAAAGAATTTCTAAAAAGGAAAAAACCAATAACCCTCTAAATATGGGCAAGAACTGTGAAGAGAAAACTCACAGGAAGAGAAATGCAAATGGTACTAAACTTAGAAGATCAAGCTTACCCTTTAAAAAGAAAAATATAAATAAAAAGTATACTGAACTATTTCACTCCTATTGGACTGGCAGAAATCCAAAAGAATAACCACACATACTTAATTTGTTATATGCATGAAAGCATCCTCATATCCTGTTCAAAATACAAAAAAGATTAACCACCATTAAGTGAAATATGGCAATATTTAGCTAAATTATACGTGAATTTACCATTTAACACAGAAATCCCACTTCTGGGGACCAACCATAAGGGCACACGGATCAAAGAAATAAGAGGTTATATCACTATTTATATTTGCAAAAGACTAAAAAAACCCCAAATATTGATTACTAAGGAACTTGTGGAATGTGTTATGTTATACTCACACCATGAAGTGCTAAGCAACTGGAAAAGGAACTGAGGAGTATCTCTTTGTGGCACTACAGAGTGAACTCCATAATACATTATTAAATGACAAAACAAAGTTTAAGTTAGGGGCACCTCAATGGCTCAAATGGTTAAGTGTCTGCCTTCAGGTCCTGGGATCCAGCCAGCGTCAGCATCTGGCTGCCAGCTTACCTGCTTCTCCTTCTCCCTCTGCCTCCCCCACTGCTCAGGCTCTCTCTCTGTATTCTCTGTCTCAAAAGAATAAATAAAATCTTAAAAAAACAACAGCAAAAACAAACAAACAAAAAACACACAAAAACCCCCAAAACAACAACAACAAAAAAGAACTGGGCGCCTAGGTGGCTCAGTCGTTAAGTGTCTGCCTTCAGCTTGGGTCGTGGTCCTGGGATCGAACCCGGCATCAGGCTCCCCACTCTGCAGGAAACCTGCTTCTCCCTCTCCCATTCCCCCTGCTTGTGTTCCCTCTCTCACTGTCTGTCAATTAATTGATTCTTTAAAAAAAAAACAACCCACAAAGTTTAAGTGAAAAAATCAAGTACAATGTGACAAACAAAGATCTACATATGAGCCTTCTTATATTAAAAATAACAAAATGAGAATCACTATATTGCACATCTAAAATTAATATGAAATTGTATGTTGATTTCACTGGAATTAAAATAAAAACTTAGGGGTGCCTGGGTGGCTCAGTGGGTTAAAGCCTCTGCCTTTGGCTGGGGCCTGTGGTCCGAGTCCTGGGATCGAGCCCCACATCTGGCTCTCTGCTCAGCAGGGGCCTGCATCCCCACTCCCCTCTGTCTGCCTCTCTGCCTACTTGTGATCTCTGTCTGTCAAATAAATAAATAAAAATATTCAAAAAAAATAAATAAGTAAAATAAAAAATAAAAACTTAAAAAAATGGCTACCCACATTGGGTAAGGGCAGGAGTAGGATGAGGGGACAGAGAGAAGCCAGAATGATCTCTGAATATACTTTGCTAAATTTATATTCACAGTCCATCTTTAGAAAAATTTAAATATTTTTAATACTTATACAAAAACAATAATCAAAATGAAAACAAAACCCTAAAAACAAAGAGCAAATGAAAGAAATCAATCGAATTGTGTCTCAATTTGATGGTATACCTCAGAGAGGAAATACCTGCTAAGTTTAAGACACAGGAATGTGACTATGTGTCACAATGGGAATACACTGAAGGATAAAAGAACTAAAACAAAACAAAACAAAAAACCCACCAAAAAACAAAACAAAACAAAACCGTGGAAAAAAGATTCACAAATCTGACCACATCAAAATGTAAAACTTTCATATTACCAATGATACCACAAAGTGAAAAAATAAGACAAACTCTGGAGAACATATTTACAATGAATAGAACAAAGATTACTATACAACACTCATAAAGGATATTTATCAATCAGTAAGAAATACAGAACAAAATTAACGGAAAAGTATGTAAAAATATATAAAACATATAAATCAACATTTCACAGAAGAAAAGTGAAAGGCCCAATCTTATCCAAAATCAGAGAAATACAAATCAAAACAATGAGGTTTTCATCATCCATCAGACTGGCCATAATTTTGAAATAACGGTATCAACTGTCAACAAGGAGACAAAGAAAGCTGTCCGGTCATCTAACAGCCGGTGGGAGTTGTATGGTCACTTAGACCAATTTGGCAGCCTAAAATGACACTGGAAATGCTTAGTCTATCTGACCCAACAATATTTATCATGTGTGTACATTACAGAATACTTGAAATGCTTGCTCTTATACAGGGAGAGAAAATGTAAAAGATGGTCACTGCACAATTATTCATAATAATGATAAACAGAAATGACATAAGAAACAGACAACTAAAATGTATGCTGTCATAACAGAATATTAAAAGGAATGAAGTAACCAATTTGGATAGATCTTAAACACAATATTAAATTCTAAACACAGGGCCACCTGCGTGGCTCAGTTGGTTAAGCTTCCAGCACTCGATTTCAGCTCAGGTCATGATTTCAGGGTCGTGAGATCCAGCCCCATGTCAGGGTCAACAAGAAATCTGCTTGAGATTCTTCTTTTCCCTGCCCCTCCTGCTTGTGTGTGCTCTCTCTCGCTCTCGCTCATTCTCAAATGAATAAATAAATAAATCTTAAAAAAAAAAAAAAAAAGCAGCCAAAACAATCCTGACAAGTTTGTCAAGAAGAATTTGTTCAGTAGAACAAACTGGAGAACTCACATTCCTGACTTCAAACTTGCTATAAAGCTACAGTATCAAACACAAGGAACCAGCATGATAATATCCACATATGGATATTATCATATCCACAAATGAAAAGAAGTGGGAGTCCAGAAACAAACCCATACACCTATGGTCAAATGACACTCAGCAAGGGTGCCGAGATCATTCAATGAGAGAAAGAAAGAGTCTCTTCAACAAATGGTATTGGAACTGAATATCCACATGCAAATGAATGAAAATGGACCCCTTCCTCATATCATATACAAAAATTAACTCAAAATAGTTAATAGATCAAAGACCTAAATGTGAGAGCTAGAAACAGTAAGACTCTTAGGAAAAATACAGGAGTGAATCTTCATGATCTTAGAATGACAACAGATTCTTAGATACGACCTCAAAGGCAAACACAATAAAGGAAAAGAGATAAAAAAGACTTTACCAAATTAAAACCTTTTGTGAATAAAAGGATATACTTTCAAGAGAATGAAGAGACAACTCACAGAATAGGAAGAAATATTTGAAAATCACATGTGATAGAAATCTATTACCCAAAATACTCTTCAATAAATCCAATTTAAAAACAGGCCAAGGATTTGAATGGACATGTCTGCGAAGCAGATATACAAATATCCAACAAGCACACGAAAAGGTACTCGTTAGACATTAGGGAAAAGCAAACCAAAACCACAATGAGATGCTACTTCATACCCACTACGATGGCTATAACAAGACAACAAGCGCTGTCAATAATGAGGGGAAATGAACTCTCATGCATTGCTGATGGAAATATAAAATTGTGCACACGTTGTGAAAAACAGGTGGTTCCGCGGTAATTTAAAACTACAACTAATGCATGATCCAGCATTTTCCCTTCTCAGTAAATACCCAGAAGAACCAAAGACATGTATTCTACCAAAATTTGCACATGAATGTTCAGAGCGGCACTATTCACAACAGCGGTAAAGCAGAAACAAGCCAGACGTCTGTTAACCAGTAAGTGGATGAACAGAACTCGGGTCCATCTACATAGTGGAATATTCTTCAATGATAAAAAAAAATGAAGTCTTGGTAAAAAGGTACACTTAGCTATAAAATGAAGGTCTGAGGATCTCATGTATAACACAGTGACTACAGTTGATATCACAATTAAAATCTGTTGACTGCAGAGCTTAAATACTCTCACCAAAAAAACCCCCAAAAACAAAGAAAGAAAGAAATATGTGAGGTGATGGATGTGTTAGATTAGAGGGAGGAATCCTCTCACAATGTATACGAATATCAAAATCATCACAATGTTCACTACATACCTTATAGTTTTGTCAAATATACCTTAATAAAGCCAGAAAAGAAAAACAATGAAGTCTGTAACATGCTCCAATATGATGTTTAAAAACATTACACTAGGTGAAGGAAGACACACACAAAATATACATTTTGTATGACTATACTCATACAAAAGATCCAGAAGATCCAAGTTCATACTGACAGAAAGCAGATTAGTGGTTGCCAGGGTCTGAGAATTTTGGAGTTATTTTAAGGACATGTGGTCAATTTATTCTATAAAAATTCGAGGTTTTATAAAGGGAAAACAAAAACAAACCAAGACCAGGGGAAAGCTCTCTACATGCGCTTTAGTAATATGTTCTCCTAAAAAACCTCATTAACTGGGTTCTGCTTGGTAATCTGTCTTTTGCTTCCACTGAAGAATAATTATAGGCATTTAGTTTGTGGTTTGCCACAAGAAGGTTGTTCATCATTTATATAAGGAGAAACAGAAGTTTTTTATTCAGCTCTTGATGCCAGAAAGTCTTTAGGCTCCAAAAGGAATAGGGATGCTCTATGCATGTTTTTTGGGGGGGGGGGGGGCTGGGGAGGGAGTGTGGGGGGGAGTTATGGCTAAAAGTCTGAAATATTTGCAAGTTTGATAAACATCTAACTTTATATGGTGTGTGTGTGTGCCAACTGTGCCCTATTGATCTGCTGATCCAATGCTACTGGTCTACACACCTCAACATCACCTGCAACCTTGTTCAAAACGAAATTCTCAGGCCCCATTCTATGGTTTAAAACACTTCCCAGTTTTGATCTGATGTACACTAAAGTCTGAGAACAACTGTGTCAGGCTATTTCCCTCAGGTTCATTTTATCTACTTCTACTTTTCTATTTTAAACATGAGTCATTATCCTCATAAGTTCCATTATAAAACAAAGCAGAAAATTACTTCAATAACTCACACAGGACTTCTTCATATTTTGCCGGTCTCCCTTGGAAAAATGTAGAAATCTCTGAAGGCAGAGCTGGGATAGAGAAAAAGGAATGAAGTCATTAGAGGTACAGACTGCCCTGCAGTTCCCGGACTTGCCTTCTTAAAAAGCTGCAAACATCACCTGGGTGAGATACCCCTCTGTGGGAGAATATCCTTTTCACCTCGCAGAAGGGGCAGGAAAGGACATAGGATAAACCACCCACACGACTACGTATGACTGTGATTTGGCCATGCAGAGCTTGGGTGTGCAATTTTTCATTGGGTGAATGGAACTATTGTCTAGGACATTTTTAAACAATGTCTGTACCCCTTTGTTCTGTTTCAAAGAAATTTTAAAAATGAGAAAAATTGGTTAAGCAAATTATAATACACTAGATGAAGGAACACTAAACCTTCAGCAAAGGTTGTACAACAGAAGTTGTTACATGTGTATTTCCTTGTTTTTTTTTCTTTTAAAGGTTTTATTTATTTATTTGACAGAGATCACAAGTAGGCAGAGAGGCAGGCAGAGAGAGAGGAAGGGAAACAGGCTCCCTGCTGAGCAGAAAGCCCGATGTGGGACTCGATCCCAGGACCTTGGGATCACGACCTGAGCCGATGGCAGAGGCTTTAACCCACTGAGCCACCCAGGCGCCCGTGTATTTCCTTGTTTACTCAAGTTAGAGAAGGCAACCAAAGCTACGAAAAAAAGGATGGAGGCACTTTCAAGTGAGTGTACCTTTTATTTTTCTAAAGCATATGCAGTTTCTCAAATGGCTATCTTTTTTTAAACCAGTGGTGATGTGGTCAGCACAGGACTGGGGTAGGAAAGCTCAACGTTTCCTCTGGGTTCTGCCCCAACACAAAGACAGGGAAATTCACTTACATTTTCAGCACCAATTTCTTCTCAACTTTCAAGAAGAAAAATAAGTAACTCTCCTTGTACTGCTGTCTTGTAAAGAACTCAACAGCACATTTTTAAATGCCAGATTCATTGTGTGAGCAGAGCTCAGAATCTGGGAAGAGGGAGTAAAAAACAAAGAGTAGGGGCTGAACTGGGATTGGTGAGACAAAACTGACTCGCATCTAGTTTTAAGGCCCTTTCCCGCTAATCCCTGGAATGCCTCCAGTGCAGTTCTATTTCCCAGGTCACCTAACCATCCTTCACTCCTTCCAGCCCAGCTGCCCTGGTCCAGGCTTCTCTCCATTAGGCAGCCTGGGAGCTTCTGAATGGGGCAATATTGTCAAATCTCACTTGTTCTGAACACGCCTGTGAAAACCTAGGATCTGCTCCTCTCTGGGAACTACACTCTGCTCAAAACTCACTCAAGAGGTGCCTAGGTGGTTTGGTCGGATAAGCAAACGACTCAATCTCAGTTCAGGTCTTGATCTCAGGGTCATGAGCTCAGCCCTGCAGTGAGCCTACTTAAAAAAAAAAAAAAAAAAAAAAAAAAAGAAGAAGAAGAAGAAAAGAAAAGAAAAAGGAAAAGAAAAAAGAAAAAACCTCAAATAGTTGGAGGGTTCTCTCCAACTAACATATACTTAGAGACTCCTCCTTCTTACTTCACAAGATGTGCTTTTCTAACATAGATGAGAAAGGCACCTGAGGGGCAAATTCATTTTAGCTGGAATTGTCACCCAGGCCCACAGTTCCAATGTATTTGTTATTCCATAGACTCTCAGGTCAGACCTTCCATAAACTCAAATCAAGGCTGCTGAGAACTGTTACAAACCTAACTTGAATACAATTATACCGTCTCTTTCAGAGGCTTTGAAGACATCTAGAAATCCCATACACAGAGCTACTACACGGTTAAGATTCAATCGTTCAGATCATTTCTTCACACCCCTAATTATTTTTGCTAAGTACTCTGCAGGATGCCATGCTGGCTTTTATAACCAAGACGGAAGCTGCAAAGACCATGTCATTTGGAGAAACACCTAAAATTGTCTTCTTGGGCGGCTGGGCGGCTCAGATGGTTAAGCATCTGCGTTCTGCTCAAGTCATAATCACAGGGGCCTGGAATCCACCCTCTGCATCAGGCTCCTCACTGGGTGCAGAGCCTCCTTCTCCTTCTCCTTCTGCTAGTCCCTCCGCTTGCGCTCTCTGGCTGTATCACTCTATCAAATAAAATCTTGAATGAATAAATGAATGAATGAATTTTTTAAAAAATGTCTTCTAGTGGAGCGCCTGGCTGGCTCAATAGGTTAAAAACTGCCTTCAGCTCAGATCATGATCTTGGGGTCCTGGAATCGAGTCCTCCGGTTGGGGGTGGGGGTGGGGGGGGGTCCCTGCTCAGCAGGGAGTCTGATTCTCCTTCTTCCTCTCTCCCTCACCCCATCATGCTCCCTTTCTCCCCCTCTCTCAAATAAAATCTTTAAAAAACAAAATAATAAACTGCCTTCTAGTTTATCTGCTAGTGTTGTGACATAGGGTATATAACATTCCTCTCCACCTCAGTTTTATAATTTGTTATGGCAGAGAGAGCTATACCGGCCTTAAGTGAGAGGTTGAAAGCATAATGCAACGAGTGATAAGAATAATTCTATTAAGAGCAGCTAATATTTACAGCGAGGCACTGAGCTATGTTATTTAATCTTCTGAACAACCCCACGAGACAGGTGTTATTAATATCCTCAGTTTTACAGACGTGAAGTCTCACGCTGGTTTACCGTTCGCAGATGATACTTTGATATAGTTCAGCCCACCACGAATCAAAGCATCTGCTCAATTCCCGCCGCTCTACGACCGAGCGCACCCATCGCGCACGCGCACCGGCCACTCCCCCTCTGCCCCGCCTCCCTCTTCACCCCACTCCACGCTCCCCGCTGCTGCACAAACCACGCCGGCACATCAACGCGGAGTCTGCAACTTCCCGAGGGTACCGAATCCCCGCCTTCCTGCCTTCCAAGCCGACCTTGCCCCTAGTAAAGAGTCTCCCGTCTCGTGATCCCTCCACCCGACCGAGGCCTCCTCGTACCCAGTCTCTCCAGAACAGCAGCCAAGTGTCCCGCCGGGGTCCGCGGGCCTCTTCCCTACAGTGGAGCACCGTCGCCCACAACCGCGTCTTGGCGCCACGCAGGAACCCTGTCGGATCTCCCCATCCTTCTCGCCTCGCACACCCTCCCGCTCCGGCTGCACGAGCTCGGAGAATGGCATGCAGACCGCCATGCAGACCGCCAGACGCCTGGAGGTTCCGGATCGTCTCCCACAGAAAGCCGGAACATTTGGAAGCGCCTGCGAGGTGTTGCGCATGCGCAGAAGGAGCCGCAGGCTACTAACTCTCATAACCGCGTGCGGCGGGCCCACAAACTTCCGGACTTCCATTCCCATAACCCTGCTCGCCCGGGACTTGAGAATTTCGGAAACGTTCTCTCTTCAGCAATTCAGAGACAGTGGCGTGGGGGTTGTTGCTTCTGTATGCAGCACCAATTTTTTTCAGTACCTCAAAGAAATAGTATCACAACCACTTTGCTTTCTGAACGCCAAGCGACCAAAGGAGGCAAAAATGTAAATCAACGTGCCGTATGGATCTAAGTAGAAAGGGTCGCTTACGTACTAGAAATACAAAATACCATTGTGGATTTGAGAAACAACAACTCTCATTCATGGGGACACCTGGGTGGCTCAGTTGGTCAAACACCTGCCTTTGGCTCAGGTAGGGATCTCAGAGTCCTGGAATCGAACCCCATGTCAGGCTCCCTGGTTAGCAGGGAGTCTGCTTCTCCCTCTGCCTCCCCAATACTCGGGCTCATGTGCACGCGTTCTCTCTCAAATAAATAAATAAAATCTTTAAAAAAAACCCCACACACACCTCTTATTCATTACTGGTGTGAATGCAAAATAATACAAACATTTTGGAAAACAGTTTTACAATTTCTTATAAATTTAAACATGTAATTACCACACAACCTAGTGATCCTACTCCTATGTATTTACCTAAGTGAATCGAAAACTAAGTCAACACAAAAGCCTTAACATATATGTTTTTTTTTTTCTACTTTTAAAGATTTATTTACTTATTTGAGAGAGAGTGAATGGGTGCGCGCAAACAGGGGAGGGGCAAAGGTAGGGGGAGGAGCAGGCTCCACGTGGGACTGGATCCCAAGACGCTGGGATCATGACGTGAGACGAACGTAAACACTTCACTTAACTGACTGAGCCACCCAGGCGCCCAACACAAACGTTTATAGTATCTATTAATAATCACCGGAACAGGTAAAAACTCAAATATCCTTCAATAGGTGAATAAACTGTGGGACATCTATAAGTGGAATACTATTCAGTAATTTAAAAAAAGGAATGAATTAATGCCTCACACTACCATAGGAAAAATCTTTTTTTTATTTTTAAATTTTTATTTATTTATTTACTTTTAAAGATTTTATTTATTTATTTGAGAGACAGAGATCACAAGTAGGCAGAGAGGGAGGCAGGCAGAGAGAGAGAGGAAGAAGCAGGCTCCCCACGGAGCAGAAAACCTGATGTGGGGCTTGATCTCAGCACCCTGGGATCATGACCCGAGCCAAAGGCAGAGGCTTTAAACCACTGAACCACCCAGGCGCCCCTACAATAGGAAAAATCTTAAGTGACTTTTGCTTAAGTGAAAGAAGCCAAACCTAAAAACTGCATTTTGTATCAATCTATTTTGACTTTCTTGAAAAGGTTAAATTATAGGACAGAGAACAAATCAGTGGATGGGGCTAAGGGAGGAAGGAGGAGTTGAGTAAGAACAGGTCACCCAAGGGGAATTTTTATAGTAATAGGGTTGTTGTGCATGGTACAGGGTGATGCATTTGTGGAAACTCAGAGCTGTACACCACCAAGACAGAATGTAACTCAATTTAAATAAAGAAAAAAATCAAATAGTTTACAGATATAAAGCAGACTGTGACAAGTGACTCTGTTTTTACAAATGTATGTATCACGTAACCTGAATTTAAAAAACGGGGGAAAAGGAGCTGACCTAAATAATTCTGTAAAACTACATTTTGACTGGATACATTAAGACTGAAAACAAAAAGAACTGTACTTAAACACTCTGGCTGGTAAATTCTCACAGGGGTTAGCAGTTCTGAAACTACTTTCCATGTACACAAGGTCAAAAAGAATACTTATGTTGTAGATAATGATAACCAGGTATCTCAGTGTATGGATGAAGTTAAAAATAAGCAAGGGGTGGGTGGGAAGGCTAGAATGAATCCTCAGTTAGACTAAAAGATATCAATGTTAGCTCATTAATTTTCAAATATGTAGTCATGTGTATGTAACACATCTGTATACAGATGTATACAGATTTATATGTATACAGATCGATCTAGAAATATGGATACTGTGAGGCAGATGACTAGCATGGACTGGTACACATACATCTATTTCTTAGATATGTAGGCAGACAGCATCTAGAAAGTTTCACCCAGTACCAATCAGCACACCTAGAGCTCAGATCTTGGTTTCTCCAATAAAAGGAACTAGGGCTCCTTGGAAAAATGTCTGATTCCAGGGCTTGGACACAGAAAATACAAGGAGACTGGAGCACCTTGTGTGTGAAAAGTAAGGAAGTCCTTTAGAAACTATGATAAGGATTTGTTAAAAGGACCTAAAAGCTAACCTATGATAGCTCTCAATGCCCAAGCTGGGACAATTTGAGCAACATAATAATAGCATGGATGAAATGAAAAGAGTGGAGAGAAAGGAGCTGATCTGAGAAAAGGACCAACAACATGAAAAAGTCTTTTTTTTTTTTTTTTTTTTACATAAATGAGTCTTAAATGAATTTTGCTAAGTGAAAAAAGCCAAACTCAGGAGATACATATTATATAATGCAGTTGACATTCTGAAAAGGGTAAAATTGTAAAACAAAACAGATCAAAGGGTTGGGTGAAAAAGACGGGGTTGAGTAACGACCACGGAGAATGAATTAGATTATCCATGAGCCCCTACTGACATAAACAAATGATGGAATAAATAAATGAGGAAAATGAAAATCTTTCCTTTACAGAAGAATCCCAATAAACATATAAGGAAAACAGAAAAATCTCCTTCTAGAACACCACAGTAAAAGTGGTTGCAGGCAAGACCCAACAATGAAAGCGAAATTTAGTGGCCAAAACTCTAAATATAAACAGGATACTTGGGTAGCCTTAGAGAGTTTCTCCTTAAATTTACTAATACACCTGGTGGTTTTAAAATATGACCATAAATTCGAGATGGAGCGAATTTCCTCTGTCCCTGGGTGTGCACTGGACTTAGCCAATCCACTCTTAAGTGTAGACTGGATATGGAAAAATCCTAAATATATAGTGCAGAAACCCCGCTGATACCACTTTAACCAAGAACTAAAGGTTAGTATGACAAATGTTGATATCACGTGTCACCTGATACATAGGGCACATCCTTCCAAGGGTATTCTTCCTAAAAATATATACCTCAGTCCAATAAGGAGAAAACATTAGACAAACGTAAATTCAGAGGCACTTTTCACAATACCTGACCACTATTCTTCAATCATGTGAATGCCATGAAAGACAAGGAAAGACCAAAAAACTTACAGGTTGGAGCAGACATGATGATTAAATGTATTGTGGTATCTGGACAGAATCCTGGACCAGTAAAAGGGCATTTGTGGAAAAATTGACGGAATCTGAATAAACTCTGTAATTTCCTTAATACAATTGCACCCGAGTTGCTTTCTCGGTTTTGATAAAGGTACCACGGCTCTGTAAAATGTTAACATTGGGGAAAGTTGGGTCAAGTGTATATGGGAGGTTGCAGGAGATGAGAGCGTGCTTTCTTCAAGTTTGGTATACGAACAGTTTTTTACACATGAACGGTTTTTAGTATTAATACCGAATTGCTAGCTTGCTGCTTTTCTCATTCGAGAATAACCATGCTGGTCACAGATAGCAGGTACACAGATGAAATCCAAACACAGCTTTCCTTCTCTCGGCTTGCGTCTAAAATTTGATGCATAGGTCGAAGGACAAGGACAAAAGCCTGGCTCCAGGCAGCAGGTGTGAGTATCTCAGATAGTAATCTCTCAACTCAGCCAAGTCGGCAGAAACTCTCCACCTGATTTCTCAAGAAATGCACATGGTGTACACCAGGGAAGAGAATCTTGAGAGGTACTGAATAATTTATGTGCCAGATATACATCCTAAACGCCTCTACTCTTCACTAAACCCCTGCTAGCTCGGTACGATTAGCTTACTTTTCAAGACTTAGGGGTGAGATATCCCTCCTAAGGGTAAAGGCACTTTCCCAGCACAAGCGGCCAGGAGCGGAGTTCCAGCTCCTTGCCGCTGCCGCGCCGCGCCGCTCCCTCCCTCTGCGCATGTGCATCCCCGCCTTTTCCTCCCGGCTCGTCCTTCCCCGGCCTCCAGCCCCTCGTGGGAAACCTTCCCTGTCTTCCGGGTCCACGCGGCGAGGGAGCTGCGGGTGAGCCCCGGGGGATGGGGGCGAGGGCCGAGGGGGCCCTGCGCGGCCCGGGGGTCCGGCGGAGGCGGGGGTGCCCGGTTGTGGGTCGGAGCCTCGCGGGCATCGGAGGGACCCCAGGCGTCTGCGCCGCCTGCAGAGTTAAAGGGACGGCGAGCGGGGGCATCTCTGCCTGAGGGACCAGGGTCCCGAGTGGGAACGTGGGCTCTCGGGTTCGCGAGGCCCGCAGGTGTCCAGCTGCAGCGCTAACCTGGCTGCGCCGTCGTGCGGCCGGGGGTGGGGAGTGCGCATGCGTGACGTGTGCGCCGGGCCCACGGGGAGGGGGTGGGGCTGCGGGTAGGCGTGAGTGCGCGTGCGCGACGTGCGCGCGCGCTTGGCGTTGTGACGTGTGTGTGTGTGCGTCTTAAGGGCGCCAGGCTTCCTAGGAGGGGCGCGGTTGTAGGAGAACCAGGCGGGGTGTCTGATGTGAGTGAGTTGCTCTGGCCGAATAGTCTACGTGATTATTCTGAGCACTCACATTTTGTTAGCTGCTATTGTATTTGTTGTGTATGTAATAACGTGCGGCTGGAGCTTTGACAATTCTCTAGGGCCTTCATTGCTCAGTTAACTCATTTGTGCAGTGGAAGAGGGAAGAGGCTGTACTAGCTAGCCACCAAGGCCCTTTCCTGGCTCTAACATTCCCCAGGTCCCCAGTTATTATTTATTATGTATTCATTTGTTATTTGTTATGTATAAGCATGACAGTATCCTGAAGCCATCGAAGGCTGTGTGACGGTGGAAGGTCTGGGACAAATTTAAGAAGAGCGAGGTGAGCTGGAGCTGAGAGGGGTGGGCACGCAGGCTACACAGGAAATGTCACCTCTTTGGAGAGTTTGTGAGGGCATGGTCGGGAATGAAAGACTCATCAGCCATAGCGAAGGAAATTCTGTCATCACCTCTCCCTGAACACCCCCTACTCCCCTCATTTTCCATTCCCCATTTGCCATTGTTGATGGCATCTAGAAAGATGCAGAGGTTCCTGCTCTCCTGGCCTTATAGACATACAGGATGGTAGTGCAGGCGAGAGGTTATCTGTTTTGGCCTTATTTGAAAAATGAAAAAAAAATTTTTTGAGTCTGAGAAGGTGACTGACCAAGATCATGCAGTTTGTTGGTGGCAGAACCATGGTTAAAAGTCAGGTCTGCAAATTCGCAGGCCATGGCTCATTTTGTCACTGTTAATTAAGTCAAAGATAGTTTCTTATTAAAAGACCTTTTGAAAGTTGTAAGAAACAAACATTAAACATTTGTCTTTTATTTTGCCTTAAACACCCCCATCTCTTTTTTCCAGAGGTTTCTTGGATTTTCTGACCTCAGGGAATTAATAGTGTTAACAGGAAAACAGATTAACAATGTGGCTTGAGATTTTTAATTTTTAATTTTTCCCACATCAGTTCTGAAAAAGCCATAGTGTTTCCTCCTTTAGGTTACTGTTAAATGCTAAACTCATCTTCTCATGTTTTTTAATTTTTCTGTGTCACAGAACCTAAATTGGTAATAAATCAATAAGAAACAAATGTTTACATTCACTCAGTGAAAAGTATCATGTCTAAGCTCAACATATATCGGAGCCACACATGGACACGTAAGTATCTTGTATGTGGAGCTGTGTAGGCAGGTAAATCCAGGAACTGCAAGGCAGGCCAAGTCTCTTCTAACTTCCTTCTTCCTTCCTTCTTCCTTAGCTCTCCCTCCTTCACTAAGAGCAGAAAATGAACAGATCCCAGGTGAGCTTTTTGTTTGTTTATTTCCACTTTTTTTAAAATGAGTTTTCTAAAATTTGAAAGGATTCATATTTTTAAAACAAAAAAATAGAGGGGCTCCTGGGTGGCTCAGTGGGTTAAAGCCTCTGCCTTCGGCTCGGGTTGTGATCCCAGGGTCCTGGGATCGAGCCCCACCTTGGGCTCTCTGCTCAGCAGGGAGCCTGCTTCCCCCTCTCTCTCTGCCTGCCTCTCTGCCTACTTGTGATCTCTGTCTGTCAAATGAATAAATAAGATCTTTTTTTTTTAAAGATTTATTTATTTATTTATTTGATAAAAAAATCTTTAAAAAAATGAAAAAATAGAAATAGGCAAGAATTACGTGAAGGGAAGTATATCAAGTATATCAAGCAAATTCAAAGAACAGTTGGTAGAATGAGAAGCAGGACTCTTAATTTTACAGAGTTGTGCAAGTTGTAAAACTTCCTTTGATTTTTCTAATAACAACACTGAAATTGCCTGTAATCATTTCTGATAGACACAGCATTGTGCTAGAAGTGTATGGATGCTTTTCAGGGGACCGAACAATGAGGTTTGAGTAGACAGCTCTCTCATGGTCCTGCTTGATCCAGGAATATGACTTCGAAGATCTGGTGGAATGGAGGGACCACGCGTCCTCCAGATAACTCTCCCTAAGTGTTTGTGTCAGCTTGTTCATATTTCTAGCTTGAATAGCCGACTGTTCTGGCTTTGGTTTCTGCATTTCTCATTCACATTTCAACTTCATGAATGCATTCTTGCTGCTTCGACACTCACCTGAGTCAGCTCTGGAAAAGGCTACCAAATTGTAGTCAAATCCAGTTTTTGTCTTTGTCTTACTTGACCATCCTGCAGCATAATCCTCAGTCTCTGTTGTCTCTGACACCTCCCTGCTAGTTTTCCTTTCTTAACTCTGATACATCCCCTTATTGTTCCTCACAAAGTTGTCTTTCCCTTTTGCCCCAGACGTTGCCTCTCCTTGGGTTTGTTGCTCAACCATCCTTGGCTCAGTGCTTTTTTTCAGTCTGTGTTTTTTCCTGACTGGTCGTCTCTCTCTCTCTCTCTTTTTAATAAAATATTTTTGAATTAGTAATAACATGGTTAAAAGGTTAAGTGATGTTCCCTCTAGGAAGGGTGAGATTTTTCATCTCAACTGAGACACCTCCACTGAGAATGAAAGAGGTTCCATAAAGTTACGATGGGACAGCTGGCTATATTGGGACAGTCCCAGACAAACTGGAGTTATGGTCATCCTGCTGTAGATATCTGTCTGTCTTGTTTGTCCCACCAGTGCTTCTTTTTTCATTTAAAAGATACTCTTGTATGCCCCCTACTTTTATTTAGAAGGGAATCCATCATCTTTAGGGCTTTCCGAACTTAGATGCAGCTGTACACCACTGGCATCCTGTTAAAATGCAGATGTTGTTTTAGTGGATCTGGTGGGGGCCCTGGGTTTTGCATTTCTAAAAAGCTCCCAGGTGAAGCTGACTCTGCTGCTCAGGGAGCCACACTTTGAGTAACGAGTCTATACATGATTTTCTGTTCTTTCTTTGCTTTTTTGTCACTTTTTAAAAGCCCGTCCCAGACATCTTTCTCTAAACAGAACATGGATTGTTTCTTTCTTTGTTATAACTGCACAGTAATTCAAGCATGGACGTTCCATAGTTACTTAACTGGTTATTATTAGTTATGCACTATTTCAAACCTTTTGCTATTACAAACCATGTTCTTTTTTTTTAATTTAATTTAATTTTTAATTTTTGAAATTTTTTATAAACATATAATGTATTTTTATCCCCAGGGGTACAGGTCTGTGAATCGCCAGGTTTACACACTTCATAGCACTCACCATAGCACATACCCTCCCCAATGTCCATAACCCCACCCTCCCCAATCCCCCTCCCCCCAGCAACCCTCAGTTTGTTTTGTGAGATTGAGAGTCACTTATGGTACAAACCATGTTCTAATGAATGACCTTGTACATATAGGTTTTTTCTATCCGATAAATTCCTAGAAGTGCGCTGCCAGGTCAAAGGGTGCATATAATTGATAACTTGATCATTCGGAATTATGGTATCATTTTGTGTCACTCCCATCAACACTGCATGAGTGCTTGTTTGTCCACAGCTTCTCCCATAGAACATGTGGTTCAACTTCTGGAATTTTGGCAGTGGATAGATAAACATGGTATTTTATGAAGTTTATATCTGCAATTTTCTTAACTATAAGTGAGGTTAAGTATTTTTTCATGTATCTGAAAGATGTATTTATGTTTCTGTGAGCCCTCTGTTCATATCTTTTGCCCATTTTGCTCTTAGGTTTTTGGCTTTTTTTTTTTCTTTCTTCGGTGTCTAACTCTTTATATATTAGGGATACTAGTGCTTGTCCATTTTATGGGTTGCAAACTATTATTTTATGGGATGTGATTTGTCTTTTGATAGTTGACCCTGGTGTTTTCTCCCCCATGCAGGTATTCTGTTTCAGAATACCACATTTCACTTAGTCATTTCTTTAGGCTCCCCTTGGCTGTGACAATTTCTCAGACTTACCTTGTTTTTGATAACCTTGGCAGTTCTGAGGAATACAGTTAGGTGTTTTGTAGAATGTCCCTCAATTGGGAATTGTTTGCTGTTGTTTTCATGATTAGACTGAGGTTATGGGTTTCTTGGAGGAAGACCACAGAGATAAAATGTCATTTGGTCTTATCATATCAAGGGTAAGTGCTCTGGACATGACTTATTACTTTGTTTTCTCTGTCTTCATACTGTACTCCTTGGAAGGAAGTGGGCAGTTACACTATACACTTACACTATACCTCCTTCCTGTTGGAGTATCTACATAATTATGTACATAAATTATCAGGAATTCTGCATAGGAGATTTTTCTGTTCTCTCCTATTTACTAATCCATTTATATCAGCATGAATTCATGGCTAGTTATTTTATATTTTGGTTATAGTACAATGATACCTTGTTCCTTTTTTTGCTCAAGTTGTTCCAGGTTGGTTAGTAAAAGCATCTTCTAGGGGCGCCTGGGTGGCTGAGTTGGTTGAGTGTCCGACTCTTGATTTCGGCTCAGGTCATGATCTCAGGGTCCTGGGATCCAGCCCCATGTTGGGCTCTTTGCTGAGTGTGGGGCCTGCTTGAAATTCTCTCTCTCGGGGTGCCTGGGTGGCTCAGTGGGTTAAAACCTCTGCCTTTGGCTCAGGTCGTGATCCCGGGGTCCTGGGATCGAGCCCCACATCGGGCTCTCTGCTCAGCAGGGAGCCTGCTTCCCGCTCTCTCTCTGCCTGCCTCTCTGCGTACTTGTGATCTCTGTCTGTCAAATAAATAAATAAGTAAGTAAATAAATAAATAGAAATTCTCTCTCTCTCCCTGTGCTCCTCCCTGCTGCTTATGCTTTCTCTCCTTTCCCTACTCTCTCAAAAACAAGTAAATAAATTTTTTAAAAAGCACCTTCTGTTGGTTCCTGTGTCTTTTGACATACCCTGTTATTGTTTGAATACTTCTTCCTTACTCTGTGGCAGTAGACTTTCCAGGTTGATCTTATGTCTTTCCTGCCCTAGAATTAGCCATTTTTCCCCCCTAAGTAGTTCTGGTTCTTTTCATTGGAGCATAGTATGAGAAACCAAGATTGGGGGACTAGGTGTGTCTGTTGTGACTGTGACTGCTAAGTTATTGCTCAAAGACCTTCTCAGCTAACTGAATAGGAAATATGTGTATACTCACTCATGTATATACATGTGTCTATAAATATTTTAGTATGTAACCATCTATTTCTATAGTAAGCTAAGTATTCACACTGTTGTCTCCTCTTGTAATCATTACCAGGGGGAACATTCTAACCTTCTCTTCTTGCTTGTCTGTAATCTCCTGCGCTAACAATGAGAGTCCAGCTAACATCTGAATTTCATTTATTTGATAGTTCAATTCCAGAATACACATGCTTGATTCTCGCACTTTGGGACCATTTGAATTAAGGTGCTAAAAATATTCACATGTAGGTTTTAAAACATAAGTTTTCAAAAACAGAGGGTGTGAAATTGCTGTGTTGGTTATGTATGTATGTATGTATGTATGTATGTATATACGTTTAGCTTCGCAAGAAATTGCCAAACTATTTTTACAAAGTTGCTGTATCAGTTTTTGTTCCTACCAACTATGAATCAGAATCTTGTTGTTCTGATTCTGGACCTGAAATTGGTATTGTCATTATTTTTGATGTAACCATTCCAATAACTGTGTCGTGTTGTCTGCATATTCCCACTGAGGTGATGTTGAGCATCTATCTGTTCATGTATTTATTTGCTGTCCTTATATCTTTGGTGAAATGTTTGTTCAAATCTTTTGCATATTTTTCATTTGGTCATTTGTTTTCATATTATTGAAGCTTTAAGAGCTCTTTTGTGTTTTTTGGACACAAAGCTTTTATTAGATATATGTGTTCCAAATATTTTCTGTCTGTGCCTTATCCTTTCATTTTCTTAAAAATGTCTTTCACAGAGTAGAAGATTTTATTTTTAATAATATCCAAACCATGTTTTTCCCCATGGAATATGCTTTTTCTGTTCTATCTAAAAACTCATCACCAAATCCAGGGTCATAGAGATTTTTCTCCTGTATTCTTTATTCTTGCATTTTTACATTTAGATCCCTGATTCATTTTTAGTTAATACTAGTGTAAGATCTGTGTCTAGTTTGATTTCTTTTGCATGAGTGTTCAGTTGTTCGAGCACCATTTGTTGAAAGACCATCTTTTCTCCTTTTATTCCCTTTGTGCCTTTGTCAAAAAATGTTTGACTATTTTGGTAGATCTATTCCTGGTCCTTCTAATCTGTTCTGTTGATCTGTGTGTCTCTTTCAGCACTAACACACTGTCTTGGTAGCTTTATAGTAAGTCTCAAGACCAGGTGATGTGAATTCTCATTTTTCTTCCACATTGTGTTGGCTATTCTTTTTTTTTTTTTTTTAACTTTTTAAAAAGAGGTT